GAATGTATGTCTGTGTGTGTGCACCATGACTGTGCACCATGAGTGTGCAATGCCCACAGAGGCCAGCAAAAAACATCAAATCCCCTTAGAACTGGAGTTACAGACAGTTGTGAGCCACCGTGTGGGTGCTGGGAATCAAACCAGAATCCTCTGCAGGAGCAGTCACTGTTCCAAACTGCTGAGCCATCTCTCCACCCCTGAAATATTATTCTTAAAAAAAAAAAAATTTAACCACTTAAAAATGGAAAAGTTAGGGGCTATAGAGATGGTCCAGCAGATGAAGTGCCTGCCATGTGAGTGGAGTTTGGATCGCCTGAATGGGTGTGGAAAGTGGGGTATGGTGGAATATGCCTACAGTCCTAGCACTGAGAAGACAGATGGCTGGAGCTCACCCACCAGCTTGTCTTACCCAGTTGGCGAAATCCAAGTTCAGTGAAGAGGAACTCTGTCTTAAAAAACAGAGCAGAGAGCTTTTGCGTGTAACCAATGTTGATTTCTGTCCTCCTTTCAGGTATATATTATGTGTGCAAAGACACACACGGACACACAGACACACACAGATATATGCACACACAGAGAAACAAACACACAGACATATGCACACACACAGAGACAAACACACAGACATACACACAGAGATATACACACACACACACATACAACATATACAATCAAAGTAAAAGTAAATGTAAAATTCATTCTTGTCCCATGAGCTACACAACAATAGGCAGCAGGCTGGAACTTGGTATGTTCCATAGTGGGACTCTGTTCAAGACCATTAGCAATTAGGGGATGTCTATCAGAACCATCTGTGAAACATCTTTAAAACAACAATGCTCTGCCCCACTTTAGACCTATCATTCAAAAAGTGCTACTGAAGGAACCCAAGAACAATGGAATTAATCCATGGAGTCTATTTAATGAGCAAAGGAATTTATTTGGGGGTTAACTCACAAGACAGAATAAAGGAATTTGTTGCAGGATCTTAAAAGGTGAGGCGCGGTCCAATGCTGTTCTCTGGCGAGCTCTGCCCTGGTCTGTTCCAGCCTCCAAAACCATGAGGTAGCAAAGAAGAGAATGTGTAGTGAATCCCAGGTCTTAAGGGCCCCCCAGTGGCCATGCCCCAAAGGCATGTAACTCAAGGTCATGGGCAGGTGTAACAGTTACCTACTACCTCACTAGGGGCAGTGCTTCAGGGCATGGCTCAAACAACCACCCACCACACGATTGTCTCATAAAAGTTTACATTACACGGGTAATTCTGATAAGCATCCTATATTGGTCCACTTTTCATGGCAACAACAAAATACCAGAGACTGGGTACTTTATAAAGAAAAAAGGTTTATGTAGTTTAACTTAGAAGCTGATGAAAGTCCAAACAGTATGGTGCCAACTCTGGTGCAGGTACACCTGACTGTAGCACACCCCAGCACATGTTACCATGGTGCATGCCAGCATGAGAGATCACATGGCAAGACAGGAAGTCAAAAATGCAACCTTCTTGCAGAACTAATCAGGGTCCTGTGAGACTTACCTTAAATCCCTTCCTAGGGTAGTCCCTTTCATGACCTAATAAGCTCTCACTAGACCCCACCCGTTAAAGGCCCCATCACCTCTTAACATTACTATACTGGAAGAACAGTACCTCTCAACACATGAGTCTTTGGGGGGTCACAATTAAGAGACTGATAGATAAACTACAATTTAGGATATCATAATTCATTTTTATAGATTTCGCTTTTGCTTGGTCTTCAGAGGGATCTCCAACCCACACAGTCTATTGTCCATCGTCACCTCATTTCTCTGACTCCAAAGCAAGTCGCTAACTCCCTAGTCAGAAACTTATCACCGCGCAAAAATAAATCCCTGAATAAAAAGGACCATAAGATACCTCAGGCCAACAAAAACACACCCACACACAAACTAATGTTTGATGAAGAAGACATCACAAATCAAAAAGGGAGAAGGAATTCATCAGAGAAAAAAATAGTTCTGGAACTCGGAAACGAAAACATTTTACATCCCTATCTCACGCCACTCACGGAAATAAAGACCAGATGCACTAAAGGGTAAAATGTGAAAGAATTAAGCCAGAGGAAGAAACTGAAAAGCAACTGAAGCAAATGTTTGTCAAATCTCTGGAGTGAAAAGGAATTTCCGAGCTTAAAAGCTTAGAAAAAGCCGCAAAGTAAAGCTCCGCGGACTTAATGGCATAAAAACTGTAAACCTGTAAATAATGAGATAAAGGAACTGAGGTAAAGAGGTAAACTGAGAAGTACATTTGCATAGCTGAGAAATCGGACTGGCTGACAAAACGCAGGGAACAGAGTAGTAAGTAAAGTAGTAATAATAATAAGCTAAGTAGTAATCAAAAAAAAATCCAAGTTAATCCGTAATAGCATAGCTCATCTGTCCATTCAGGAAAGAGTCTCATGTCTCACACACACACACACACACACACACACATACCCTGCCAAGCAGCAAAAATGCACGTGTCCCAAGGTTATATCTGTAGCCTGGGATGGCAGAAAAGTAAGGAAGATTGAGATGAAACTTCTAAACGTGTGGTCCGCTCTCCGACCGACTGTGTGACATTCCAAAGGACCGAATGTAAAAGCATCCAAGCTGAAGCAGTGTCAAAGATCAGGAGGCTTTTGCAGATTCTACAATATTTGCAGATTCACAAATGCCATAAAGTAACCCAGACACACACTATATTAAATGGAAAGGTGAAAAATGAAGCTGTACAAATTCTAGGTCACAATTAAGGAAATTCAATTACATGAAATTTTAATTAACCTCTGCATAAGTGGGGAAGATTAAAAAGAAATACACAAAACATTAGCAGTGTTTCTGCCAATGCGTAACTTGACTCTTTTGTTTCAGATTTTGCTTAGTAAGATTTATTATACAGAGCTGGGGAGATGGCTCAGTGGTAAGGGTTCTTCCCACTCCTGCAGAGAACACAGGTTAGGTTCTCAGCACCCATGTGGCAGCTCACAACTATCTGTGTGACTCCTCTTTCCGGAGATCCAATACCCTCTCCTGGCCTCCATAAGAATGCACACACATGTACACATACACATACACATACACATACACAGACACACACACACACGCATCAACACATATAAATAAAATATGAATAAATGTGTGCTATGGGATGCCTTTCTGTACACTGTGAATATATGTTGTTCCCATTGGTTAATACATAAGCTGCTTTGGCCTATGGCAGGGCAGCTTAGAGGCAGGTGGGAAATCCAAGCAGAGAGACAGGGAAGAGACAGACGTGAAGAGGGGACACCAGCCAGCCCCCCAAGGAGCAACAAGATACCAGCAGACTGGTAACACCATGGCCGCAGGCATCATATAGATTAATAGAAATGAGTTAATTTAAGAAATAGCTAATTAGCAAAAAGCCTGAGCCATAGGCCATACAGTTTATAATTAATATAAGCCGCTGTGTGTTTACTTGGGACCAAGAGACTGTGGGACCGGGCGGGACACAGAAAAACTTCCGAAAACAAATGTGATTGCATTATACTTACTTTTTCTTCTTCTTCTTCTTCTTCTTCTTCTTCTTCTTCTTCTTCTTCTTCTTCTTCTTCTTCTTCTTCTTCTTCTTCAAGATTTGTTCATTTATTATGTATACAGCATCTATGTCTGCACACCAGAAGAGGGCACCAGATCTCGTTACAGATGGTAGTGAGCCACCATGTGGGTGCTGGGAATTGAACTCAGGACCTCTGGAAGAGCAGTCAGTGCTCTTAACCTCTCAGCTATCTCTCCAGCCCCCCTTACTTTTTCTTAAAGATAGCTTTTTAGGAGAAATCCTCATTTGGAAATTAGAATGTGGGGCCAGTGAAATGGCTTAGCAGGTAAAGTGCTTGCTGCCAACCCAAGTTCAATCCCCAGGACCCATGTGAAGAGTAAAGAGAACCAACCAACTTCCACAAGTTGTCCTCTGACCTCCACACACACACACACCATGGCAAACTTTCACCCATGTGCTTACATGCACACAGGAACGCTGAATAAATAAATAAAACATAACAGAAAATTTGGAGTGTGGTGGGCCAGCAGAACGGAAACGGTAATATTTCAAGATCCATATTTTAGAAAATCGATGTTGGAAATCCTGATTACAGCAAGTCACGTAGCAAAAATCCCAGAGCACAAAGCTGAGAGTTAAGGATTACCTCTGTCCTGTTTCCTTTGCACTCATTGTATTATCGAGCCTATAAAGTAAATAGCCACCGCTATCACTGATAACTAAGTGAAGCCTAATTGTGCGGTTTTAGTCTCAATTAAAATAGTGAGAAATGTGAGAAGCTTTCTAACAGTCTCGCAGATAAATACCAATCTAAATGCACAGTCTTCTATTGGAAACTGTTTAACATTGCCTTGGCTTTCTGGAAATCTCTGCACATGGATCTTAAGCATCTCAGACACTTAGATGTACCACCCTCTTTTGTCAAAGCTCTACTCAGTTCCCATTTGTTAAAGGACACTTGAGTTTTAAGATAATGTGCAATTCTTTAAATGACAATGGTGTCCAATTTGAGCAGCCAAGCCGAATCTGCCACCAGCCCTTTGTCTTCTACCAAGTTCTTAAAAATAAGCTCTAGTTCACAGGACCTAGAAGAACCGGAAAATAATCACAAGATCTTCCCTAAAATATAAAGTAATGCCCCACATCCCCACCCTCACCTGACCAGTATCTACTAGAACATAGAGAAGCAGCTGCCCCTATGAAAGGTGAAAGGTCACTCTCTTTCCTTAAGCTCTGGATTTGGTTTTTGAGACAGGTCCCTTTTTGTATTTGTAGCAAAGACTGACCTTGAACTCAGCCTGGGGCTTAGCATCCCAAGCATTGGGATATCTCTGCTTGAAGGGCAACATTGTAAGTGTGTGTGTGTGTGTGTGTGTGTGTGTGTGTGTGTGTGTGTGTGTGTGTGACTAGGTGGACAGGTAAGTGATTCTCCCCTCCCTTCCTCCCTGGTGCTGGGATTACAGATGTGTATATCTGGCTTTATACATGGTTGTCAGGGAACCAAACTCAGGTCCTCACACCATCTCCCCTGCCCCTAAAGACAGTACTATGATAGGATTCTGCACTATCTAGCTTCTGGCTTCTTTTATTGAGGCCACACAAACCCTCTCAGTGATGGATTCCTGGAGGGGGATGCATTTCTCCGGGTAGCCCCGATTGAAATGGCCTTGCATGCAGACTGATGAACATTGCTACAAATTCCATGTGGAGTCACAGTCAGGTCTTCCCAGAGACCGTGCTTTAGGGCTTTGCAAAGTGAGGGACTGTCCATTACAGCGGGGCGCTTAGGCCTTCAAAACGCTCATTTCTTCTTATGAGACAATAAAATACTTGGTGCCGCAGCAGCAGGTGAGAGCAGAACACGTCTTAAATATCTGACCTGAAGTGCCAAAGATGCTTAATAATCTTTAAAGTTACCAACAATATTGTTTCGCCCGTTACCAGGATGTTGTAAAATGTCCTAATTAGTCTTTATGTTAATGCCGACACCTCCACAGCACATAAAAAGCACTTTTAATTTTTAAAAGGACAGCTCTGGTTGGTTTGATTTTTATCTCTAATTGGCCTATAATGTCTATCCCTCTGGCGCTCCAGACAGGCAAACATTAATTTAACAAGGAACTCATACACCATGGGAGACCAGAGAATCAAGGGAGGAAAGGCGGCTCCTGCATTCTGGACATGTAATTGGCTCCATTTGCTTTCACCTCCTGGAAGGTGCTAAACAAGCTTGTCCCACTGCTCCAACAGGGGACCTTCGGATGCAGCTGCTTCCTGGGGACCTTCTAAGGCCATTCATTCCACCAAGCGCCTGTGTAACACAGCCAAGATTCGTCAAACTCTTCAGACCCACCTCAGTAAGTGTCCCAGGAGAAGCCTCACGGGAGACCCAAAATTGGTGGCAGTCTGGTGTACATTACCAAGAAACTGAGCCCAGGGGAACCAGAGAGCTAAACCAAGACCAAGAGACCTGTGGTCTTATACCAGTCACTCATCTTTCCTAGGAGCTCTTCCTCTACGGGAAAACGATAAAGACTCACTAATCTCAGACGCCCTTTCTAGGTTTCAGACACCAGGATTTACTATTGGGCACAGCTCTGCCAGCAGCATGGATGAGGAGTCCTGGACCCTGCCAGCAGAGGCTGGCTCAGGCCACTAGGAACTGTCAGCTCTTCAGCAACATGCAATCTGATGCTAAAAACGCTGCCCCAGCCCAGCTCCCACCAGGCTACCCGGGACATTTCAGAACAGCTTAGAGCCAAGGGGCTGAGTGAAGATGGCTAAAATGCAGGCTCACCTAGCCTCTACCTAAAGAAATAGATTTGGGATTTCAGGATCTCGATATTCTGGCTCAGTGGTGCCAACTGTCTCACTTCTGAGTGGGGAGCTTTTACAGTGGGTCCTCTGAGTCAAAGAAGCCTGTTTGCATAGGAAATACAAACCGAGAATCGGATCTTCGTGTCATTCCTCGAGCTGCATGTGAGTCTGTATGTATTCAGAGCAAGCCTCGATGATTCCTGGTGCAATGGGGACATGACGGGGTGGACACTACATTATTGACCCCAGGTGATTCCAGTTGTTGAATAATGATCCACTTCCCCCTTTCCCTCTTCCAAGCCCCATTCTCCTCAATGAGCTGTTGGCAAAGAAAGCTGGGGCTGAGTGGAATAACACGGCTGTTGAAAAGCTTTTTTCTTCCCAAACCAAGAAAACTATGACAATCTTTTATTTATATTTCCAGCGCTTAAGCTGGAGTACCAAGGGCAATGGCGCTGCCATCTCCCTAAACACCCTCTGTCGTAAGGGCGCCACTGCCAGGCGTCACACACAGCTCATCAACAAGTCCAAAGGGGCAGGAACCAGGCCACGGAAGTTGTCGTCTTGCACACTGGCGACTCAAAACGAAACATGCTCCCAGAGCTTGATGTACTGTCATTGAAAAAAAATAGATCTCCAGCCAGTTTCACTGAGAATCTGCAAAATCAATCATGCTGTTAAACGCATTACCACCACCACCACCATCAACACACACACACACACACACACACACACACACACACACACACACACACACACACACACTTATATTTTTTAACTCCAGTATTCTGAGGTCTGAAATGAAACACAAATACAGTGAAGAAACTGTGAGCCAAATTTTCACTTAAGTCTCAACAATGACTCCACTCAACTTCCATCTCCTCGCCTCCGTTCACGGTCCCCCTTGTTCTCTTAGCCCAGACTCCAATTAACTGCAAGAGGAAGAGAGGAATATACATTAGAGCAGCGGTTAGGACTAAACATTTTCTTTGTACAGCCTTGGATGACACTCTAGCCTTTTCCTGATGAGAGTGGTTACCTCTGTGTTCCTTTCTCCGCCAGATGGTAACCATCAATCTTAACTTCACGTTCAAATTCCTTTTGTTCTATGCAGGGTCCACTCCGATCACAACTGAAAACACAATACAGGATTTGTTGATGTGACTTTCAGCCACCAAGCTCTGAGAGAAATAGTTCTTACACCGAAATGCGGACTTCTTTCAATGGTACAGCCATTATTGTCTCCATAAACAGAAGTCAAGTTGTGAGCTGTCTGTGGAGTTATGTGGGACTCCTCAAATTATGGGAGGCCAATTTGCATAGCCATCATCCACTTATCTTTAAGTCACCACATAGCAGGGCTCCAAAGGGGGTGACGCTCTCAGCTGAGTGGACCGGCCTCTAGAGAATCACAAGTTGGGGATTCACGTCTCACCTCCCCATTTACTCCCGTGTTAGACAGTTTGCTGAGCCTTGGTTTCATTTTAGAGTCATAGGTTACTGTCGAGCTTTGTAGGGATTGAAAAGATGTAAATGGAAAGATACAAAAGGGAATATACAAAACACACTTCTTACAAAATAAAAGAAAACCTATGAGTGGTTCTATTACCATTGAAAGACAAAAATAATAATAAATGGAAGTAAAAGCATACAGATCCGGGAGAGGAAGGACAGAACACATGTAAGAGATGGTTGTGGTATGGATGACCTCCTTCAGGAATTTCACAGGGACCTTTGGCTCACTTATCTAGAGCCAAGGGCTATTGCTGGGGTCATCCCAACAGAAATCTCACTGAGAAAAGGGGAACCATACCAACCCACAAGTCCTTTTTCTTTATTACCATGAGGAGACGAGGAGGAAATGTGCAGCTTTCATTCTCAAGGCTGTATAAATGGCTACAAAGATGTTTTGCCTCTGCACATGGCATGACTCTGCTGGTGTCAGAAGAAGTAGGACCTACCTCCTTTCAATCTCCTCTTTGGCATGCTATTAAAATCGATCTATCCATTCTGCTCCCTTATGATGATACCATCATCCGGCTAGTCCAAGCTCAACCAAAGGACCCCAAACTGGTACCCTGAGCTCTGATCTTCACGATACTCTCTGCTTTTAACCTGTGCCCTGTCAAGAGACTTTATTTCAGTCAACAGTTGTTAGCAATGGACCCAGTGACTATCTTAGGGTTTCTATTGTTCTAATAAAATACCATGACCAAAAGTAATGAGAAAAAAAGATGGGGTTTATTTCCTCTTACAGCTTGTAATTCATCAATCCAGAGAAGTTGGGGCGGGAACTTAAGGCAAGAATCTGAAGGCAGGAGTTGATGCAGAGTGCTTGAAGGAGTGCTGCTTACTGACTTACTCCCTGTGGTTTGCTCAGTCTGCTTTCTTACAGCACCCAGGACTACCTACCCAGAGGTGGTACTACCTGCAGTGACACTGGACCCTCCCACATCAACCATCAATCAAGAAAATATCCTACAGACTTGTCTACCGGCCAATGCCATAGAAGCATTTTCTCAATGAAGATCCCTTCCTCTCAGCTTATCCCAGCCAGCACAGTGACCATGTGACAAAAGCACACATAGCTGAAATCTGCACCGGGACCATGTTGAGAGACTGCTGGCACATGTCTGCAGTCATCCCTGCTGAATTCCACCTAAGAATCCGACCGGCAAGGTGAGTCAGTGGGCGAAAGCCTGCCGATGAATCTGAGTTCAATCCTAGAAACCATAAACCATAAATATAAAAGAAAACCAACGACACAAAGTAGTCCTCACACCTCCATACACATGCTGTGTCACACACATACACACCATGCATACACATAACAACAACAATAATAATAAATGCATATGTGTGTGTTTTGTATGTGTAACAAAAATAATTAGAGATGAAGAGGTCATGAATTTGAGATGGAGTTGGGGGAAGTGGGAGGCATTAGAATTGGGAAGGGAGCAGGAGGAGTCATTTAGCTGAAGTGCTCATGTATGAAATTCTCCAAAAATAAATTTTAAAAAAAGAAATACAGATAAACAAGAAAATAATAATAATAATTTTTTAAATCTAAAAATCGCTAGAGACAATTGGGTCACAAAGGTCAGAACTCAATGACTATGCCATCAAAATAGTCACCTCCTCTGTCAGCCATAGCTGGGTCTAACTGTCCCCACTGAGCCCCTGAGAAGTTTTATGTGAAGAATCTGGTGACAGTATGACAAGATCGCTCACCAGCAACAGTTCTTGTGACATCTGCTTTACAGACAGAAATGACCTTGTCTAGAAAGTCATATGCAAGGTTGAGTGATCCCAGGGATTTCCAAGAACTGATGGAGTAACTATGCCAGCAGGAACAGAAGAGAATGTGTCTTCAGTCAGGGAGGCATGTCTATCAAGAAGAGGATATCCTTGGGGGTGGGAGAGTGTGCAGAGAGAAGCAACCTTATGAAACAGAAACATACCACCTAGGCAGCACAGACATTGCTCACCCAAATCAAAGCTAGGAATGCCTACAGCAACCGAGAAAGCCTGCAACATCATCCTGGGATGCCTGCTTCTCTTCCTATTTGCAGAATTTCAATGACAACATCAGACAGATGGGTGGCTTCCCTCTTGGATGCAAGTACAACTGAGACTCTTCTACCAAACTGTTGAGGAGCATAACAGTAGTGCTCCACCCAAACAATAGTCACCAACAAAGTCAATGGTTTTTACAGAACAAGCTTTTACACAAAGCACATTTAAGCACATATAAAAAGAGTAAACAATACCTATCAACTGCAACTTGATTTTTTTTCCAAGTTAGCTTTATTCCTGAGATTTGCTCAGAATGCCTTCCAAATCATTCAGCATCATAATTACTTTAGAGTCAAAGCCTCCTAGGGATTGCTCTGGATTTTAAGCCAATTTAGAATCAAAATCCTATATTGCTCTTCCCAACTGCCAGCTGGAATTGTTTCCATCTAGGAAATCATGATTTCCCTCTTTTATAGCTTAATTCTGAAATAACTTCTCACTGCTTTCTGCCACATTCTCTCAGAGTACACCTTTGCTTTTTATAATTTAAGTAGAAAGGAAACAAGAAAATGATGTCAGGAGCCACTCCTGACCTTCCTGGGGATTCCTCTTTCTGTCTCCTTCTGAAGGAGGCTGCCAGCATCTTTGGAAAGGAATTGGAAGACACTTCCCCCTCATCAGGCTTTTATCCCTCATTTGCCCTTGCTTATTTTGACTTCTTCTCAATCTTGGCTCTTATTTAAAGAGTTATATGAATACTTCTGGCAGTCATGGATAGCCATCTTTGATGCTTTAGTTACACAGTTAAAGTCTGTTCTGAAGGAGTTTGACAGTGGATACACTGGGCTGTCTACCCAACTTGTTTCTTCCCTGCTCTTGCCATCCTTGCCAAATCCAAGTTTCTTCAGGTGCTCACACCATTGTTTCGATTGTTTGAATGGTGTGGAGAAAGGCGGCTGTCCCATAGCCCTGAAGATCCACCCTCTCTACTATAGACAAAGTAATTCTTTGCCAAGTATTAGTGTATGGATGCTCATGTGGGTTAACTCTAGCCATTTAGGCATGGAAGAAAATCTACCTAAGGCATCAAATAAAAGTTGGTTTTCTCTATTCTGAGAAGAAGGTGCTGGGGGGGAGGGGGCTGTTTCTTCCTTGGGAGAGTGTCTATGTGTTGTCTTGATATCTAGAAGTGCAACAGGCCTCTTAATAATAGCAAGGAGTGGGGGTGTGGCATCAACATGAAGACAAAGTCAGGGGGAGGTTGAAGTCTAGACTGTGATGAACTCATTCCAGAGCCTGACTGGCTGCTATGGTCTTAGGTAAAATAATGCATTTCCTTGAGGTCCATCCACATTGAGAGGTGTCTGCTCTGCTGCTTGAAGCCCAAACATTCTACTCGACTCCAGCTCCCTAAAGCAAGCAGGAAAGTTTGGTGAAGGTTTGAGAAAATGGACTTCACTTGGTTGTACGACTCTTTTTCCTGTCCTACCTCACAGATGGTTGCTGGTCCTACAATATGACTAGATGATGGGCAGGTAGACTGCATGCTTTGTGGTAGACTCTTACCATTGCACTTCTCCTAAAGGTTGCACAGTGGAGTGTTTTGTGAAAACAGTACTGTAGAATGTTGGGTTTTTAAAAGGCAAAGGTGACGTGGTTTGAAATCCCAATGACTGAAAAACTCCTAAGAGATAAAACTAGTAGTTACAGTAATGAGCTCTAAAGAAATAGACACTATAGCAGAGGCATTTCTTTGGTAGAACAAATGTTGTTGTGTTGGAATATAGGAATCAAGGGAAAGGAATTCACTGACAGTCATGCAGCCTAGAGCTGGATAGCTTCTTTGTTCATGACTCAAACCCATGACATCTCAGAACCTTCTTTACTAGGATGTTCCTTGAATATTCTTAAGATCTAGTATCACTCCATATATATTTCCACCAACAGTCATTAACATTTGTGTAGAATTTGTGATTTTTTTAACCCCTTTCACATTTATTATGTCTCTTAATTCCCCTATATCTCTAACAAGATAGAAGTCACCACTGTCATTATCAATGGACTGAGAGGAAAAGAAATACATTGACCAACATGGCGCTAACAAACAAATAGGATGGAAATCAAGGCCTTCTGACTCTCAGTTCAAAGTTTCCCCTTCACTCCGGCCCTCCCCTCCTCCCCATCCCTGTAGGCTGTAACAAATTTGAAGTTATGCTACTGATCAGCAGCAATTGGTTTGAAATAAGAAATCTTTGTATTCAAATATAAACATGAATATTTGAAAATTGCTAATTTGGGCCAAATGTTGGGCTTAAGATGATTGCCAACCTCTTTTGTGAATGCAAACTCCCTTAAACCATTTGTTCTCATGTAACATTTAGCCTAAGATGTAATACACAATACACATATAGTGTTTCCCATGTACAATGTTTTCCAGCTTCTAATTCGCTTTAGGCCATCAAAAGAGAACGTAAAATAACCCCAGAGCTCTAGACTTCTGCAATTACCTTGTGGAGAGGGAAAGGGAAGGCTGGGAAGAGTTTTTACAACTGAGAAAATCCAGATTTCTTATTAGTCATGGTCTAAAAATGACAACCCCCTGCCTATGCAAGCCGG